ATCATGCGTGTTCATTACAATTGTTGAATGGTTATTTTTTTTGTATTTTATCAATGTATGTACATACCAAATTACATTAAAATCACTCCAGTAATTCTAGAGATTATAGACCAAGTCTACAAATTCACTAAATTTTTTACACTAGTGTATATATATATATTGTGCTTTAAAATGTCATTCTCTTGACATATCTATCATTAAAAAAAGTTTCAATAACTACCATTTTAAAACTCCCTGTACATTTTTCTCAGCATAAAGAATAATTTTCAAGATATTTGTAAAAATAAATTGAGTTTACAATTTGTATATCATACGAAAATTTTGTCATTTCTTGTCTACTTAAGAATGAGGAATTGAAAGTTGTAAAGTTTTAGGGCAGAGAGATATTTAAGTATTTGGAACTGGGAAAGTAACTGATGTAAGCTCTTAACAAATAAGCACACAATCCGTTAAAACTTACTCATGAATTGCTTCGACATAGTCTTTGCCTTCACCTGTTTGGGCATTGATTTTCACCCCCATAGCAGTTTCTGAAAGAAAATTTTCAGTAACTGCATAAAAACTAAACATTGTTCGAAAACAAAAATACAATACTTTTATTTTTTGTTAATATTTATTGTATTAATTATTATATTAACTGTTTATTTTATTTTTAAACATTTGGAAATAATTCTCGTGTTGTAATGTAGTAAAAGTTTTTCCAAGCTCCTCTGTTCTCCCATATGTGAAAATTCTGTACCTGAAACCTTTACAGGAAATTCATAGAATGAGTAAGATGCCCAGTTATGATGCTTTATTGAAAACTAAACCGAACTTAAGCCTATGGATTTTTTATTTTATCGGAATACATTAAAAATATTATGAACTGCATAACAATGAATGAAATTAGTTACATTGAAAAATCGAATTATAGCAGCAACTGAAATTTCATAAATGCGTCCCAAGATATGGGGAGCTAGTTTTATAATTTTAGAAAAATAATGCCAGACGAAAAACGACTGTACCACGCCTAATATTAGGTCGAAATTAAAAGCCTGGTTTAAAGCCCAGTCAGACTAAGACTCTTGATTCAAAATAATTCCTAGAAAGCTGAAAATGATTTTATTTCACTTTAGTCATTTGAAATAAGAATAATTTAAGTTTGTGACGGTTTCTGAAGTTAGCTAAACTTTTGAGACTAAAAAAACTAATAAATTTTCGCCACTTTTTTAGATTTGATATCATAACATCTGAAAAAGGAATTACTCCCAAAATTTAACTGCGAACAAAAGATAAGTAAATACTGTATCGAAAAATATACTTGAACATTAATTTTTTAATCGGAATCAGTAATCAAAAATGAGCAACATTTTTCGCTTTGCATTAAAAAATATTGCACTTATTTTCATACGCCTATTTACAGTAAATACCACTACAAATAAAAATTGTTAGTTATCAGAATCTTATAGTCTAAGATTCTGAAGATAAGGAAGTCTTACATTTTTTCGAACTAAAATGGACAAAAAGTTTTAAGCTAAGTTCTTTATATATATTATAAAGGAATCAAATTGGTTTTCTATTTTTGCTATCTTTGGTAGAGAACGTGTAGAATGATTGTGTTTAGTGCTTTATTTTTACTATATTAAATTTTATCGGAGAACTGAAAGCAAATTTATATGTTTTTAAATTTTTATTTGAGAAATTATTTTTTGGGTTACAAAGGTTTAAAAGCAAAGCGTAACGCTTTTTCAATTCAAAGCGAAAAGTTAAGCTCATTTTTGACCACTGATTCTGACCAAACTGCTCAACCAAATTTAAGAATATCATTCGATGCAAAATTTACTGCATTGTATCGATCTTATAAAGCAATAAATAAAAAAGTATGCATTATTTAGATCTTTTAAGGTAAAAAACAAAAAAAAATGATGCATTGCATAGATCTTATTAGGAAAAAAAAAGGCCAAATATTTAGTATTTTGCCTCTTTAAAGTTTAACTCACTTCAGAAACCGCCGCTCATATTAAACTCATAGTATTCTTGTTTGAAACAAAGTGAAATAAAAACATTTCCAGCTTTCAGGGATTTAATTCGATTGGATTGGATTGAATGTAGAAGTTTTATGACACAAGATCCAAAGGAGGATATGCAGCGCCAAACAATTTGTTGAGTTAGATCTAATGGTAAATTGCACACAATAGTTTCATTGTTATAAAATAAATGAAACTAATAAAATTGTTTATCTCAAGACACGCATTTTCAAAAGCTCATAAAAATCAATAAAAAGCGTAATTCTATAAAATATACAGAAAAGGTAAAACGGTTCATGGGTAGGAAATAAGAGTGAATAAAATTAGATAAAACAGTTATATACTATATAAAATACCAANAAAAGCATAATTCTATAAAATACACAGAAAAGGTAAAACGGTTCATGGGTAGGAAATAAGAGTGCATAAAATCAGATAAAACAGTTATATACAATATAAAATACCAATAGCTCGCAGAAATGCGAAAATGTTAGGTTGATGAATATCATCTAACAAATCCTTCATACATAAAATCGTGCTATTAAAAAAGGTAAGACGATGTTGGTTAAAACAAGGACAAATGATTAAAATGTGATGAACCGTAAGTAAAGTATTGCAAGAGTCGCATTTGGGAGGAGATTCTCCAAACAACAGATGAAGATGCGTGAGTCGAGTGTGGCCGAGTCTGAGACGATTAAGCTTTACATCTGCATTACGTAAACGTAATACAGGTAAGGGGTCTATATATGGTTTGATGTTATGAAGTTTATTTTGAGTTTGAAGGTTCCAATGCTGCTTAATGATGAGCGACGGATGAGATGAGCTGTCGAAGGGATTTAATTCGAAGCAAGGAATTTTCTCGCTCTAGTTTCCCAGGGCTATTAAATGTTTTAGAAATACCTCTGTTCTCTTTAAGATTTAAATTCGTTAAATTTTGATGTGTGTTATAACCAAAAAAATAATAATAATAAAATAGATAAATAAATAAAGAATAAATTATCTCCTAAAATTATTTTTCAGTATATCACTTACCACAGATAATATCTAATGTGCAATAATTAATTAAAGGAACAACATCAATCCATGAATCTTTCTCAAGTTCACGTAGTCGTGAGATAAGAATATGCGAATGATAAGAAAATACAGGTAAAAAATCTTCCAATATTCGAAAGTGAAAAGTCGGGGTCAATAGTTTTCTTCTGTATTGCCACTTCTTACGAGAGCTGAAAATAAAAAAATATTAAATGAGAAGCAAAAATCAATAACACACATAAAAATGCATTGATTGGTGTTATAAAAATAAATGGGACTGTGGGGTTTAATTGCATTGAGTTCAGAAAAGGACAATGATTAGAGAGTAACAATGGCCGACGTTAATAATTATGAAGGTAAATTTCGAGTCGTATATGTCGAATTTGAAGGAATCAAAGACTTTTTCCATGGCAAGTTTTTTATTTAAAAATTGTATTAACGTTTCAATCCAGCAAATTTAATTTTTTGGACAATGATTGGAGAGAAACAATTACAGATGTAAAACTATTAACAATTATGATGGTAAATTTCGAGTCGTATATGTCGAATTTGAAGGAATCAAAAACTTTTTCCATGGCAAGTTTTTTATTTCAAAATTTTATTAACGTTTCAATCCAGCAAATTTAATTTTTTGGACAATGATTATTGGAGAGTAACAATTACAGATGTAAAACTTTTAATAATTATGATGGTAAATTTCGAACCGTGTATGTCGAATTTGAAGGAATCAAAGATTTTTTTTCTAGCGAGTTTTTTTTTATTTAAAAATTGTATTAACGTTTCAATCCAGCAAATTTAATTTTTTGGACAATGATTATTGGATAGTAACAATTACAGATGTAAAACTATTAATAATTATGATGGTAAATTTCGAACCGTGAATGTCGAATTTGAAGGAATCAAAGATTTCTTTTCTAGCGAGTTTTTTTATTTTAAAATTGTATTAACGTTTCAATCCAGCAAATTTAATTTTTTGGACAATGATTGGAGAGTAATAATGACAGATGTGAAACTATTAATAATTATGATGGTAAATTTCGAACCGTGTATGTCGAATTTGAAGGAATCAAAGATTTTTTTTCTAGCGAGTTTTTTTATTTAAAAATTGTATTAACGTTTCAATCCAGCAAATTTAATTTTTTGGACAATGATTATTGGAGAGTAACAATTACAGATGTAAAACTATTAATAATTATAATGGTAAATTTCGAACCGTGTATGTCGAATTTGAAGGAATCAAAGACTTTTTCCATGACAAGTTTTTTTATTTCAAAATTGTATTAACGTTTCAATCCAGCAAATTTGATTTTTTGGACAATGATTGGAGAGTAACAATGACAGATGTGAAACTATTAATAATTATGACGGTAAATTTCGAACCGTATATGTCGAATTTAAAGGAATCAAAGATTTTCTCCATGGCAAGTTTTTTATTTTAAAATTGTATAAACGTTTCAATCCAGCTAATGTAATTTTTTTCAATGCATTTAACTCTGTATATCTTTATATAACTAAGATTGTAAACGGTAACTAGCGTTACCGTTTTAGCGCTCGATAACTAGCCCACTCTGATTCAAACTGCCTCTAGCTAATATTCCATTGACCTATATTAGGTCAATACCGTTAAAAGTATATTTTGAATACATTTAATCTGTTTTGTTAGTCACTTGCATTTTCATTTATAATACTTAAAAATTCTAGAAATATATTATTATGTAACATTTTCATAAGAAAATCGAAACATCTGCATACGGACAAATTTTGCGGAGTGGAACAAAGTTCAAAGATGTCACTTCAGCGGAAATGACTACCCGTAATGAGCTAATAATTTTTGGTGGAAGAGCCACATTTGATTATTATAAACATTGCATAATAAGGGCATGCTGCGCCTAGCAATTGAAAACAGATTAGACCTTCTAATCTGTTTTAACCATTTAAAACAGATTCGAAGGTAAACTGCGGACTATATATTTATCTTTATACAATACATGCCCACAACATGAAGTAGTTGTGATGAAAATGAAAAAAATTAGAGGAAATGTAGACTAGGAGAACTTTTAATGGGATCACTCATTAAGTTGCATTACAACATGCCTATAAGATACAGAAGAACAAAACTCCAAAATCATTATTATTGAGATTGAAGACACCTTGAAATACTATAGAATAATAATTTGAATATAAGTAATTAACGAGTATTACCTGGTAATAAGACCGGTTCCAACCAATGGGTGACCAAAGTTATAAAAACCGGCTTTATCGATAAGATTACTACTACTTAACACAACCTGAGGAAAAAAAACCTATATGAGCGTATGAAACTATAAATATATGACAAGATTATGGAACACTTCTATGCTAACTCATTTTTCCCCCATAATTTTCAAGAAATACTTGAAAAACTAATTACAGAGAGGTGATAATTTTCTCGCGCATTCAAAATAAAATGATAAACTGCGTGCAACGGAACTGGAAAATGGTTGTTTAAAATAAAAAAAAGTCCGATCATTATGAAGATTTTGCAGATTGTTGTTATCACTAATTTAAGTCTGTCTACAAAATTATTCAAACAAATATTTAAAGTAATAATTTTCAAAAAAAAATTTTGCTAAAGAGTTTTAATTACTTTTTAAATTTTTTTTTAAAAATGCTTTAATCTTAAATGGTTTCAAATAAAGCAAAAACATCTTAATGATCGAACAACATATTTCTTCTAAGCAATATTTCGTGAATCTATTTTTATTCTCTTTTGGTATTTTTGTAAGACAATAAAGTTTTAATGTGCAAGCTTAAAATAAATTAATCCAAGAGTTTGTATTCATTTTAAAAAAGCACTTTTCATTAAGTATTAATTGAGGAATAACGTCCTTCTTGAATTTTCAAAAATTTAACTTCGTAAAAAAAACTGCTCATACCAAAGAAAGTACTTCCGGTTACATGTAATTTATGAAAAATTAGAAAGATTTCGCAGTTTTAGGTATCATCCCGTGCGAGTATTAAAAATTTTAATATAAGATGTTGCTAGTACTTGGAACTCATAGCATAAGATTAAAAAAAACGATAAAAAGGAGGAAAGAAAAAAAATATTTTCAATAAAGAAAATTAACAAAAATTTTCTTAAGAATTAATAAATTAAGAAAAAAATAAACGATATAATCTTGTGACCAGTTCACTATATTATATCTGCAAAAATGGTGCTTTTTTTAATTGGATTAATATATTCCAAGGCAATTTATATCAATAGAATAATATGAGGAGTACCAAAAAGAAAGAAACAGATTCGAAAATAAAAGAAAGAAAGAAACAGATTCGAAAATAAACTTAAACAGGGTTAATTCGTAAAAATTCCCAAAAAATACACACTAAAACTCAAAACGGAACAAATAAAGCGAGAAATGCAAACGGATGTCACATACTTTCAAACATCTTGCAAAAACTATTCAGAAATAATTTCGTGACTAAGCTGCCAGTTTACAAAATACAGTTGACAAGAAAAGTTTTAGCACACTAAGCTAATTTCAAATTCTAACAAGATGAATCAACCAACCAAATCTAAACTATTTTCTTATTTACTACCATCATAATAAAAACAAAAGTAAATGGAAATAAAGAGCACACTTGCTATAACAGAATTTCAAACAACAAAAAAAAACGTTAAAATTTTTTTGCTCAGAAACATTTACACTCTTTGAGAAACACAAAGTAACATTATGCATTATCGGTGATTCGCTTTTTAATACCTTATATGCAGTCCATTGGCCTTAAAGAATGCCTTTAAACTTCGTGGCATGAACTTCACTCTTTGTTGATATCTGGTAAATATTCCTGGAACGAATTAATGCAGACTCTGAGGAATATCTTCCCGTAATGTAACTCTTACTTAATAACTCGTACCTAGTAACTCTTACTTCTTGCTCTAAATGCAGAGATGCCAACTTGCTCCGGACAGCAAATATATATTTTAAAGTGGTAGTTTATCAATTGTGATTCTTGGTTTAATAAATTGAATTTAGTACATTTTTATCCACCACTATTTCTAAATAATTCGTTGGCTTATATAATTCACCACTTAGCAGTATTAAGGTCAGGCAAAACATTTTAAAAAACGAGCAAAAATAGTCAAATATTTGCAAAAATTATTTGATGTTATTTACCGCTTTTTAAATTATTTTGTCGTGTCCGGAGCAGTTGGCATCTCTGTAAATGGTTCCAAAGATGTTCGATCGAGTTCAGATCAGAAGATTGTTGGGGAGTATGTAGCCTTCTTGGTGCATTATAAAGCTACCATTTCCTTCTTACATTCGCGGAATGTTTAAGGACTGTCATATTTGTCGTTGTAATTTTGTAGTGGTAGATATATTACAGTACTCTCCACTAGAATTATACCTGCCAACTTTTACTCTTTTTGAGAATGGATTTTTCAAGTGGTAGTAAAACAATCACCGAAAAACAATCTTACTAAAAATATATTTATATTTTGACTCGGTTAAATTCAGCTATCATAAAGATTAGTATGCTTTAATATATTCGTTGTAATTATTTATATGTAGTGGTGGTCAAACTCATTTATAATTTTTTTTATAATTCAAAAAGTCTAATGGCATGACATGAGTTTCGATACCACTTTAAATACGAAATTGAAATCTTCCGGGAAAACCGGAAGAGTTGGCAGCTATGTACCTGTGATAAAATTCGTACATAGATACCACTAGTTGCTGTACTTGTGAAAATACCGGGAGAGCTGGATTAAGGTCACCGGGCTTTTTTGAGTGCTGAATGTGAGAGGTGTATTAACTTCACGGTCGTAGTCGTTCCTGTATTGCATTTAGCAGTCGAATGTATGCAGGCTGACGTTGTGTATGATCGAGACAAGGCTGAGTAGCAACAGCTTGAGGAGGTGAATAATGCTGTAGTCACAAGTAGCAAGTCAACTGTTCAATGTGGGGCATCCATTGAAGTAGGCGTTACCATATCGAAGTGGGCGTTACTGTCAAGATAGGTGGGTTCACATCACGTCTGAGTCACCAATGTGGGGTTAGTACTTGTAATTTTGTAGTGGTAGATACGCTACAGGATCATTATGTTGCTGGAATATATAAGTGTCTTGGAAGCCTAATTTTCTATTACTGCTTTTCAGGTTACGACGAAACACCTCTACAGAAGACACAGCTGTCATCCTATCATTAATAATTACCAACCCAATTATTCCAAACCTACAGAAGTGTGCATGCGCTCGTGAAAAACTACGTGAGAAAAAGAGAATTTGCAAATACCCATAAGTTAAAAACGTCAATGTTAAAAGTAGGAAAAAACATTTATAAATGTCTTAAGAAAGGAAATGTAACTCAACTAACTGCTAAAATAAAAATTATAAAAGTACGGTTGTGGACACGAGGTAATACGAAGCATATCTAATTTTAGCAATAACTATGAAATCCTTTTTTGTTTTTGTTTAAGTATTAAAAGTAGTTTTCACAATTGATACTGGTGGCAAATTTAAAATAATAGCGTTCTGAAACTATAAAGCGCATACTAGTAACACTGCAAAAGACAGTTTACACATTTTAGTACTGTATTTTGATAAAAGAAAGCTTAGCTGATCGCTGAATATATTAATACTTTATTTAAGAATCAATTCTTAAAAATTGAAAAAAAATTTTGACTATATCTTTTGTAAACGTAAATACTTTCGGAGAGAATGCTAAAAAAATTTATTTTATAATTGTTAATGTTTTATGTTAAAATTATGTGGTATGCATTAATGTATAATAATGTTGACAGCGATATCTGAAACAATTAACTTGATGTTTAGAAGAAATGTTTAGATGTTTTTATATTCTCTTAATATCTATTCAATCCAAATATTTCACGGTCATACTACAGAAATGAAATGACAAATCGTGCTGCATTTCTGTGTTCGGCCTATTTTATTCAATATATTTCCTCCATTTTAAGAAGCTTTTTTTTTATCTAAAATATTTTTAATTAATTTTATTAGCTATTTTGGGTTACTCTGTTATTTCACTCCCTCTTTCACCAAATTTAATTCTCTTTGTTAAACGAGAGAGCATATTCGTCGCTTTGAAGCTAAACCGTTGTAACTCAAAAAAATCGAAAAATGAGATATTTGGGTCATTTTGTGTAAAAAAAAAAAGACACCCTTTTAGAGAAACAACCTGTTGTCTTCATAGTTCCATAAAGTTAATTTAGAGAGCAGATAAATCGATATCGCATTGGCGCGATTAGCATTAGAGCGGAAAGTTTGAAATCGCTCTCCTGAAAAACTTGCTTTTTTGAGTCACCACGGTTGCGTATAGTAATTCTGAACATTTTTGTCAATACGACTGTTTGGATATTGATTTTGTAACTGTCAAGTTTAATTAATGTGGATTAAGTTTCATGCCTGATGTTTCACCAACTAAAATTAACAAAAAAGTTACCTCTACTGTTTCCGGTTTGAAGAAAAACACATATGTCTTCATGAATAAAGTGAGTTCAAAGATTCTTTCCTTTTCAAATAGAACGCACAATCCACATAAAAAATTTAGTAGGACTGAAAAAAATATTACAATCAATAGAAATTTTTAGATGATATGTATTATCTTTTTGTATGGGTTAAAAAAAGCAAAATAAAGTAAAATTCCGATTACTATACTTCAATGAATTATAACTTCTTTTTTTTTTACTTTTAAATGAAACTAAGTGACATTGTATAACAATTGTGTTGATTCTTAAATCAAAATAATCCGTCACGTAAGTTCAACACAATATGAGAGAAGATCGAGACAAAATGATTGGAGTTCTACAAATGAGCGATTTCGAATTCGAGATTATTAGTTGACAATGTTGTTCACAGTTATCTTTCTCTGCGAAAAATGGGGATAATACGTTTTTTCTCTAGATAATATACAAAGCGAGAAATGACTAAAAATTGTTTGGATCTTAAATATTTTCACTGGTTTTAAGATATCTATTACTATAGCTTCACGACTAAACTAAGCACACCGGACAAAAAATTAGTCACCCAAAGAGATATCATGAAGAAGATTATTTAATAACGTGTAACACCGCCTCTAGAATTGATAACCGGCTGGATTTGGTTAGGAAGTGAGCTCACAAGGTTTTGCAAGTACGTCGAATGCAGTTTAAGTCCCTCGTTGAGGCGCACATTCATCAAATTGTGAGATTTCTGATTTTGGCGTTTTACCCGTTGTTCCAACATGTCCCACAAATTTTCAATGGGATTCAAGTCAGGTGATTTTGCAGGCCAGCAGATATGTAATTGAGTGTTCATAAAATCAATCACATATACTTCCAGCCCCATGAACATTGCTGTTGTCATCTTGAAAAATAATGGTATCGACAACACACTTTGCATGAAGAGGGTGACTAAAGGCAACTCCTAATTGCCCAGAACGTTCAAATTAACATGTTGGATCACGTTAGTGGCCACCTCAGTGAGGGAGTCCAATCCATAATAAGAAAAACTCCCCCAAGACATAACAGACCGACTTGCTGCTTGAACCTGAGCTTGCACACAGTCAGGATGAAATGCTTCACCTGGTCTGCGTTGCACTCGCAGACGTGCGTCTTTTGAATAAACGCAAAAACGTGATTCGTCAGACCATATTACATTCCGCCAGTCAGCAACTGTCCCCGTTCGGTGATTTCTAGTCCACTGAAGTCACGCTGCTTTATGTGCCCGTGTGAGCAATGACTTCTTACGAGATGTTCGACTCCATATGTTCATTGCATGCAGCTCCCTTCGCAATGTTTTCTCACTAACAGGCTGGGATGGATCTGCATTTAGTAACTGAAGCAATTCCTATCCAGTTTGAAAGCGATTTTGATTGAAAAGTCGTGAAACACGTCTCCGGTCACTTTCATGCAGGATCTTTTTCCGACCACACTTCTGAAGCGTCTTTCGTGACCACGTATATTACACCACTGCTTGTAGACACGTTGAACAGTCTGCTTTGAAACGCCAACAAATCCAGCAACTTCATTTACCATATGACCATTAGCACTGCCAAACACAATTGTCCCTTTTTGCCACTCTATCACACCTTCACTCTTACCCATATTTACACATAATTTCCACTTCAAACACAGATATCTCACTGATACCTACTTGTCTTTGATCAGGTTGAAGCAGTGTTCATGCAGTTGAGCACGTCACTTGACCACTGCGTCATCTAACGAAACCTAAGGATTCATTGGTGCTTGCGCACTAGGGTGACTAATATTTTGTCCGGTAAGCTTATCTACCAATAGTATTTGGACACGCGTGATTGAAAAGAAAAGCAAACTTTATTCATAATCAATAGTTGGTAGAGCCTCCACGAGAGGCAATTACAGCGTGAACCCTCCGGGGCATACTTTCCACAAGTTCTTGTGTGACGGCTAGTGGTATTTTCTTCCACTCGGCTTGGAGAAGACATGTAAGTTCTTTCACCGATTTTGGACGGGTAGTACACCCCTTAATTCGGCTATCCAACTTGTTCCAGAGGTTCTCGGTAGGGTTTTGGTCTGGGCTCTGGGCAGGCCAGTCCATTCGATTTACCCCATTTGTACCATACCAAGACTTGGTGACCATCGCAACATGACAGCTGGCATTGTCGACCTGGAAGTAGCAGGGTTCCACCCCGTAAAACTGCCACAACGTAGGAAGCACATTGTCATCCAAAATAGTGCAGTAGGTATCGGCGTTGAGCTTACCATGAATAAAAACCAAGGGTCCCAATTAGCGATGCAACGGATATCCGGCAGGCAGTATCTATCCGGGTAGTAGGCCGGATATCCGTTTATGGCCGGATATTATGATTATCCGGTCGTAACATTTGGCTCGAAATAAAATATTGGGTAGAAAGGTAAAAATTAAATATATATATATATATATATAATTCATCACAATGATGGTAGTAAATGTAATTTTAACATAAAAATCAATATTCTTTTCAAATATAATTTTTTTTATACTTATAGTGTTTATAAAATAAAGAAATCTTCCTTTTTATATGTATTAGATTTTAGTTTTTATCTTGGTCACGCCTACAACAGCTATGTTATACTAACCATTAATATAAATATTCTTAAAGTATGTTAGTATTTTGAAAGTTATGTAATATAACATAGTATGTAGTATATAAAAATATGGTATACAATTATAACAGAATATATTTACTATACGGATATACATATTTATTATATTATAATTATATAATANTTATTTGATTTAAATCAATGATTTTTTTAAAAAAATAATTTGATTTTAATCATGATTTAAATCGTGATTTAAATCAAGCTGATTTAAATCAACAAACCCTGATGAAAGGCCTTTCCATTTCTCTTCTGATCTTCAGTAAGAGTTCGGTCCGAACATGGATGAAATATAGAGCACCTCCAAAACCAGTTTCACTGTCTCCCCTACATTTTTGGTGGGGGTACGTGCACTTCCTGGTTTGTTAAGTAACCCGAAACTAATCGACTAAACACTGTCACAGAAAAGGGGGATTGCAACCTGCGCTTGTCAAAGATTTTCAAAAAGAGTTGAACAGAGTAAAAGTATTTGGGAAGGAGGGAGCAAGACCCCCTACGGAGAAGATTAGTCCGCAATCGTCTCTTGGAGAATGAACTTGGCGGTGGAAGTTGCCTTCCTCCCTTACTCAAAGGTAGAAAGTGACTTGTGTTTCAAAGGCTATATTACAAAAAGTAATAAAGATAAATAAATAAAAAATTGACCTACATTTTCGTGGATAGGAAAAATTATTAGTATTTTTTTCGAATTGATCACTCCGATTCTTAAACAAGAAAAATCGATTCAAAGTATGACAAGCCCGCGATAGACTTTACATGTTAAAAGCAGAATTGAGGAGTCTGCTTGGTTCAACACTTTTCTCCCGGCAACCACGATTGGGGGGAGCGACTTTCTGATCATTTGAGCTCGCCCCGTGTTCTTTGTTCGACAAGCTTTCCACAAGTCCTTCTGTGGCGGCTAGTGGTATTTTCTTCCACTCGGCTTGGAGAAGACATGTAAGTTCTTTCATCGATTTTGGACAGGTTGTACACCCCTTAATTCGGCTATCCAACTCGTCCCAGAGTTTCTCGATAGGGTTCAGGTCTGGGCTCTGGGCAGGCCAGTCCATTCGATTTACCCCATTTGTACCATACCAAGACTTGTTGACCATCGCAACATGACAGCTGGCATTGTCGACCTGGAAGTAGCAGGGTTCTACCCCGTAAAACTGCCACAACGTAGGAAGCACATTGTCATCCGAGTAGGCATCGCAGTGCAGTAGGCATCGGCGTCGAGCTTACCATGAATGAAGACCAAGGGTCCCAATACATACCAGGAGGGCGTGACATATCTCAGGACCGCAGAAATAGTCATTTGCATAGGTGTCCAAATACTTATTGGTACATGATAGTGTATAAGCCAGGTACGTTTGTTTTGTTCATATTTTATTGAACAGAACAAGAATATTCGTCATAGACTCCGAATATAAATGGCAGAGATAGTTATTTGTAACACCATCGAAGTTGGGACTTGTGTTTGCAGAAAATAGTGCTTAGTGTAATCCCAAAAAATAAAGGAAGAAAAAGAAATTTGAATATCAAAATAGATGATTTGGTTTTCGGCATTATGCTCACGGTGTTTACCACGGCTTGAGATCGCAGCATATATCTCACAGTTTGTAATACGTACATCAACTGGTACCGGTTTTTTTCCCTTCGAAAATAGGAAAGTGAAAATGCAGTAAATGCTATTTGCTCTCTTAACTTTCAATGAGATTTTTCCTGGGAAATGTCACCTGTATGAGGCCTAATCTCTGATTATTTCGCCAGACCAAGTGAGAGCTAAATCTTTAGCTCGTTTTAAAGACAAGTGATTCATTTTCGTTCGGAAACGACCGAAAATATTTTGAAAGCATCTCTGCTCTTTAAAAGTAGTGGAGAATCCAACATTCCACCAAGGAAAGGAGGTGATAAATGTGATGGCGAGGAGGTAAAATTCGAGGTTTTCTGTACATTTTCCTCAATAGCGTGATATTAACCAAGTTTTGGAACTTCAAATCTTTATTTCTAAGTTTAAATTCATTTGCGAATATGAATCTGTGAACGGTAGTACATTTAAAAGCTACATTCTATTGATATTTTTAAAGTTAGCAAATGACAATATACTTACTACACGTCATATAATCGATACCATTGTGAATACTTTTAACGATACTTAAAAGAAAACTATAGAAAAAGAGTATGGGTGAACATGTCAGATGTGGTATGGAGTTCGTAGCAATTTCCGGATGATTCAACTTTTTCATGATAGAAATAACTAGAATAAGTGCCAGCTATAAAGAAAAGATGGAAACGATGTCAAAAACAAATTAAAAAATATCAAACTATAAACAAGAAAAATAAATAAATTATAAACTTCTTTTTTTATAACTTGGACTTTTTGATTCTTACTATTCTTAAAGTGTTTCCTTCATTGATGACGGAAGTCAATTTTAATTTAATATTTTAACCAAATAATTTTATACGACTGTTTAGATAAAACTTGAAACAAATTTATTATGTTCTTTTCTTCTTTGAAAACTTATTTAAAAAGACTTTTACACTTTTACTTATTTAAATACACTTTAAAACTTATCACCAGCAGTGATATTAATATTAATAAAATAATACTGTCTATTAAACACTTAAAATTGAACGAAATAATATTAAAAATTTTTCTTTTATTTTCTGCTAATCCACAATTTTATAAAACTCCAACTAAATTCAGGTTTATTACTATTTGTGTTAATAGTAAAGCGAAAAAAATGGCATTTTATTTGAAAATGTACTTCAAACGTTATGAAATAAAATTAGCAAAAAGACTAAAAGAACAGTCACCTGAATTTGATTATCTATTATAATACACAAGTTTTAAAAATCCAAAAATTATTTTAAAAAATTGATTCTGTAAGCTTTTTATATTTCAAATACTAATATACTTCCCATCTAAACTATTAAATTTCTTGATAACCTTCTTAACCGTTTGAGTAGCTTTCTCTTGTTCTGCACCGAAAATGTAATAAGGGAGAATAAAAAATATTTTTGTTGGTAAAAATACATAATAATTAGTGTTAATTATAACCATTTCTATTGTTCTCCAAAAAACATTACTACGCATTTCATTCCGCACTTTTAGCATATACAGCATATATAGCATATATATTTAGCATATGTATATAAGAAAACTCTTCAGCACTCAAACGGTTAAAATTTATGGCTTATTTAATCTTAATATTATTGATGAGGAAAGCTGGAAATGCCCCGTTTATATTAACCTAAACAACAATTTTATTCTATTTAATGACGGCCTTTTTAACAAATTATTTTATCCTTGAACTGCCGTGCAGTAGAAAAATCAAAGTAAGCGACACAAAACTCTTTACGACAGGAGAAGAATAAACTATTCCGTTTTTTTCTTTCAAATACAAGGAAGCGGAAATTAACGGTATTCAGTCGTTAGCTGTCATGTCTCTCGACTGTCAAACTTGTCTGGGAGATGTCGAAGATTTTATAGAAGAGACGTAACTTGACCAAGAATCTCTCTGACTAGGCAGAGGATGTTCCACAAGCCGTTTTCCACATTCCATCAAGCATTGCGATGACGAAGAAGCAAACTTGACTTCTTGGGTAGACTACTATCATTTGCCGTTTGGAGTATTACAGTCGTAACACGATCAAAAGCAGCACTTATAATATGATGTATTACCATGTCATCCATGATATGAGCAAATAGAGCCAGATGATATATGAAAGTTAAGGATCTGGGGTTTGTGGAAACTGAAGCAGAATATAAAATTATGAGAGTAAAGAGATCGCTGTTACAGAGATCATCACTCGCAGTAACGTTTAGGGAAGGGCAAGAGAACTGGTGAAGCTAATGCTAAATCAATGGAGGAAACGTTCATGTAGGTCCACCCAAATAAGTTTCCTTGCCCTTATTAGCAAACTGAGATTATGGTCTGGATAAAATGTGGAATTGTACGTCCCCGTTCATTGGTGGCTGAACTTCCCTAAGATTCTCTGTGACCATTTAAATCTCCGAGCAAAATAAAATGCGAAGGTAATTTGATCTGTCAGTCAATTTAAATTTGTTTAAGATACGGGTGCATGAGGCAGTAGATAAACAGAGCATACTGTGAAGAGAACATTAATGTGAATTTGAACAATGTTAGAGTTTAATGAGGTTGAGTATATGGCAAAAGGTGAGTATGTGGTAATTCATTTGAAGTTAAAATTGCAAGTTTGCCATAAGGTCTACTTCCATTATCGCCCCGTTTGTCAAAATTATACATACGATTTTTGGACCGGAGATATTTCCTATAGTCTTAATGTTTTCATTCACTGTCATAGTAAATTTGTTGCAGGCAATTTTCAACTAATAATATTTCTCTCCCTTATTTCTGACAAAAAACTTTTAAAACGATAATGTTCAGTATTTTAACAATGAATTTGGTTTTTAAGGCAATATTCTAATTCTATACTTCGGAATTCAATCTTTTTCCATGATCAATAATACAAATTATATCTCTAATTATATTGCCATATTTAAATTAATCTTTTTGTAATTGCAATTTTTGAAAGATTTTACCTTTCACGATCCAAGAAAATTCTGTATTAATTGATAATCATATTTCTGTTTAGTTCTAGATAAAATGCAGGAGAAAAATTAAAAGAATAAATTGTGAAATTTAGGGAAGTACTGAAAGGTGAGTGTATAAAGTACAAAATTGTTTCCTGAAATTGTAAAGTGACAAAAATTTGAGTATTTGGGAGATTACAAAGAATTAATATTTATTTACATCATAAGATCAACCACAAGACCTAAACTATTCGAAATTTGAAAAAAACTCACTATTTCACAAATTTGAAAGGAAAAAAAATTCCCTACTGTAAATGTTCGAATTCGTTTGAATTAAAGCCACAAAAATTGATTTTTAAATATTATTTGAATAAATGAACCTCTTCTGGTCTCGCATTAACTTAATGAAATCTTAAAAAGAAAAAAAAATCACGAACAAATGTAAATTGCAGTACAAAAAAATCCTAACCACTTACCTGTTTATTTTCTTTGAACATAAGTTTAATTGAGTAAAAATAAAATATTTTAAGCCATTAGAAGCATTAATAGAAAAAATGTAATTTTAAGTTCTAAAAAAAATAATAATGAAAAATTATGCATCTCAATTTTCACTCATTATTAAATAGATTAAATTTGTATCAGATTTGTAGTAACATCCCTTACGAAGTTTAAGGTTGGTTTGAGGTATCGATGTTGTTTTGAGGTTGCTGAGAAAACAATCATAAAAATTATACCTCGTAAAGGTTGTAATTGAGGTGTACGAGGTTGTTTTGCATACACTTCAGCTCTTTTTGAGGTTGTTTAAAATTCACTTCATATCAACCAAACTGATGAGGTGAATTCTAAGGTATACAAGGTTGTTTTTCTGATAATTGAAACAAATGAGGTATTTATGAGATAAAAAAATATTTACCTTATTTCAACTAAAAAGAGTGAGGTCTTTATTGAGGTGTATTATGTCATTTTATTTATATCTAAGATTCTTTTGACGTTGTTTTAAATTCACTTTATATCAACAAAACTGATGAGGTGATTGTAAAGCTATACAGGTTTCTTTCTGATACTTATAACAAGAAAGGTATTTATGAGGTATAAAAAAATATACCTTATTTCAACTCAAGACATTGTTGTTGACATATGCCTGTTTAGGCAGAGGGGTGCGATTGATCTTGTTTTCCAGTGGCGCCATCTTTGGCCAAGGATTCAGGTATTTATTGAGGAATATGAAGTCATTTTAGTTATACCTAAGCTTATTTTGAGGTTGTTTAAAGTACACTTCACATTAACTAGCTCACTTCCCAGAGTTCCGTGCGAGCTGACAAATGGCGTGTTTGTTGACAATCGAAAGTCTATGCGAAATTCAGTATGTGTGTTTGACATTTATTAATTCAGTTTTATCACTTTTAATCAAATATTATGCTTCAATTTTCAAATTTAAATTTTATTATTAGAGGCTGTTGTTGTAGGCTTAGCAATAAGAGATAACAAGAGATAGAAGAGAGCAATAAGAGATAGAAGTATTTCTCGTCGCTGTTTAGGTTAACGTTACTGGTGAATCGTAACAGCAGTTTACGCATAGTTTATTTTATTGTTTGCTATTTATTCAAATGTAACTATTTTTTTAATTTTGCTTAGGAGTATATGTTTTAATGTAGCAGTATGCAAGCTGATTACTTGAATAAAATGTTCATAATTTCTCGTATAAATAAATCATTGAAAATTGAAAGATTTTAAAATAACAATTTTGCTTTGAAATTCTACTACAGCTGTATGCTGATCGTTTGCTTGGATATCTTTATGCAACGTTTATATTGTTGTTTATGAGTGAAAATATGTATAATAACACTCCGTTTTAAATCTGATTAACATGCGAATTTTTTCTGTAATGTGTGTATATATATATATATATATATATATATATTCTTGTATATCAAACTTGCTACTGAAGTTGCAGATTCAAACTTATATATGTTGCAGATTCAAACTTGACTTAAAAAGATTGTTTATGCAAGCTTATTGCGAACTTCATAGTGCGTACGCTAGAACAGTTAAATTTAACATTTTCCTGGTTTAATTGCTAACCATTTATAAACCTTGCTGAGCATTGTGATAAAAGTTGTTACTGACATTAAAATCAGCCTCTCGTTGCTATCTGGTGTATGTCACGGCAGTATTGGATACCAATACTTAAAGAAAATATTTGTCTTCTGCTTTTTACTTGTTATGTTTTATGTTTTTTTTTCATTCATTTTAATACCATCGCATGTATCCAAAATTAATTTCATCTTTAAATCCTAAAAACCGAGAGAAAATTGCTCACTAAAGGATTTTATTACTTTACAGAGCATAAAAATAAATAAATAAATAAAATAAAATAAGAAATAAATACAATAAAATAAAATAAGAATAACGCTCCATTTTTCTCGTTAAAACTGCACTCTCGTTAAATGGGGGCTTGTCGTAAGGAG